CTCACTTGCAGCCAACCACATTCATACCGGACTTAGCTGGGACAAGGCGCCATGTCTGGTTATGTAAGAGAGCATTAAACTCTGCATCCATGGCATCTCTCCACTCAGCATGCCGAACAGCCTGAGTAAAGCAAGTAGGCTCCTGAGGAACAACCTAAGACACCAAAGCACAGTGAGGCTGATCACGAGGCATGTGCCGAAGAGTCATCGTGTGAGAACGAGGTTGCCCCCGTACCCGCTGGTTACGAGTACGTACAGGTTGTCTGGAAACACCACTAGGAGCAGGCAAAGTAGGAACAAACACAACAACAGGAGACAGCACAGAAGGCACAGAAGTCAGAGAGAAACCAGCAACGCCCCATGAAAACCCAGACATGGGCTTGCTCACCGGACCCTGCTCAACACTAGAGCGTGAAAAGGAAAGCTGCATTCATCAAAACACACATGTCTACACAAAAAAAAATATGGTTAGTGTTCAGATCCATGTACCTATAACCACGAAAGGACGGAGGGTACCCTAGAAAAACACAAAGAGCAGACCTATAATCCATTTTATGACGATTATAGGGATGCAAGTAGGGCTAGCACTGTAACACCCTCTTTTTCTTAATCCTACTTAAGCAACTAAACCTTTAAAAGATAAACTAAACAGCAGAAATAAACTTAATAAATTAACATAAGGGAGCGTCACCGCCACAACCACCCTACACGGTGATTGCACGGGCTTAGGTAAAACTTAACAAAAACAAGTCAAACTAATCCGAGAATCTAGGGGATAAGACCCTGGTGTTCAACACTATCAAAACAAAGGTTTACTACAAACACCAAACGAATTTAGACTACAACATTAATCTAACTAGTCTAACTCGGAACTCTCTCACGTACCTACGAGCTCGAACCACCTGAAATGGGTTAACAAATAAACAAGTAACAAGCAAACACGTTAGCACGAAGCTAAGTATAACGCCGCTCAACCCTGTAAAGTAAGTACAGTATATACTTTGGAAAACAAGGTTCCACATTCTTTGCTCAAGCAAGTTTAAACACTTAATATACTTTGGCGTAACTTCTAGATGCTTGCAACTTAATACTCAAATAGGCATACTTAAACATAAACAACTCATCACATTCTCATCTTATAAACAATCTAAAGCTTCTCAAATAATCAAAATTCTCATGCTTTCTCATATAAATCAAATATGCAACTCATGCTATCAGGTACTACTCATCAAGATATATCAATAGGCAATCTCGTGCTACTACTCATGCAACCAAGTGCAAGACATATATTAATAAGCAATCTTGTTCTACTACTCATGCAACCTAGTGCAATACATATATAAATAAGCAATCTCATGCTTCTACTTATGCAATCTAGTGCAAGATAAACAAATAAATATAAATATATTGTCACACTCTAAAAATAATACTTTTCTGTGGAGGCTTCTGATGTCATAAATGACTTGCTTTTCTTCTCTTTTCTTTGAGTTTCAATGACTCTCTTTCTTTCTCTTGAGTGTCTCTTGACTCACTTTCTTTCTCTTGAGTCTCTCTTGACTCACTTACTTTCTCACACTCGTGGACGGTTTAGGGGTTCACAATGGTGTGAATTAACCCATTGGGAACGGCGTATAGCCGACCCAATATCTCCTACCGTCCACAGAACCAATCTAGTGGTCCCTTCTCTCACTCTGTGGAATCAGGTATCAAACTATCAGTGTGCACATCCCCTGACCAGGATTCCAAGCCTAACGGGCAGTTTCCAACCTATTAGTAACGTGGGAATACGCCTCATTACTGATTATCGGATCGCAATTGTCCGAATCTTCTTCTTTTACTCCGAAAGGACATAGTCCAAACGGCTCCTCCAAAATACTGTTTTGCCCACCATAGATACATATAGATAGATATATCACTCATGCATCTCAAGATATGCAAATACTCTTCTCATGCAATCAATGCACATAACTTCTCAATTAAATCTCAATATGATAAGATAACGGATCTCTACGTGGATATGAGATTTTAGAAAAATATACATAGGCTCACATTGGCCACTTATGCACTTTAATATATGAAAAACTCAATGATGCAATCTACAGTAACATGCTTCAAATGACATGTATTGTGAAAATCATGCTTCTAGATTCTACTCACTGTAAACTCACGGATTTCATAACTCATGCTTGAAACATACAACTCCACAATTCTTCTCATCAAACACTTAGCAAGTATAACATGCTATTGGAAAAATAGAAACTTGGTTGTAAACAACTTCAGTTCATAAAATACAATTTAGGCATGCTTTGATAGCTAGAAACAACTAACTTAACTTAGGCTTCTCTATTTAAAAATCAAACAATGACCTGCTTAGCAGATAAAATATCCATGTTTCATAAACAAAAACACTTTCACTGTAAAAACTCAAAAGAACATCTGCAACAAATATGCTTATAAATCTTAGCATAAAATGCTCAATTCTTCTCCAAACTCAACGAAATCAAAGCCAAAACGTGCGTCAAGATGGCCCCGAGGTAGAGAGTCGCAAGGGCCTTCGATACCCCGTCTGAAACGACATATAACGGAGCCACAAGGGCCCGACCACTACACAGAGAACTGCCAATGGGCCTAAGGGCGGGGCTCCTCTAAGCCCGGCCCTCCTTCCGCCTCTTCATCGGTCCTAGGCAACGGCCCTACCCTAGGGCCGATGGCCAACGGCCTTAACCAACGGACCCCTTGTTGGGCCGTTGGCTGGGATCGGTTGGCATATCTGGTGCACACTGGTTGTGCACCAGATGCCTCAAAACCAAAACCAAACATTTTCAGGCAAAACCAACTCCTCCAAAACATCAACAACACAGCATAGATCATCTAATAGCTCAAATAAAACATGTATTTAGAATTTCTACTCATTTCTAGCACAAACAAGACTTCACAGAGTCTATAAAAATAGCTTTAGGAATCCATGGGTTATACCTTTGTAGACCTCTTCTTCTTCTAGCTTGGTTCCCACATCCTTCTCAGCTAGTTATTACCTCTTTCACCTCCTAAACACCTCAAACAAACCATACAACATCTTACTACTAAGTTCTCAGAGGTAGAAAAGAAGGAAAACTTGAAGAATGAATGGCTAGGATTGAAAGGGTAGAATGAAGAAAACTTACTGCTTTGCTTGGTGATTTTGTAGGAGGCTCAATGGTGGAAACAAAGAGGCAAATGTCTGATAAGAGCTAAATTTATAGGACCACAAAACCCTAGGTTGATCCCATATGATTGGTTGATGGCAAAAGTGTAATTCCTTTAGCAAAAGAAGACTCAGGAAAGGTTTTGGATGTCTAGTGGTCCACCATGCTCCATAGACCAAGGGCTAGAATTGCTATTTAAAATACTTTGGGGTTGAAAATAGAATTTTCTTAAAAAGTTTTCTAGATGAACACTTGTTTAAGGCTTCTCAGAATTCTCCCGGTTTCACTCAGATAAATTTCTCAGTTCAAAACGTGGCATGCAATGTACCCGAAAAATCAGGATTTTGGAATTAAATCTAATCTTAGTGTCGAATTGAATTTAAAATGGCTCGAAATAAAATATTCAATACCGTTTCCTTTGTAAATCCAATCTTGGTGAACTGTCACTTATAAAATTAGAACTAAAAAAATTGAATTAACTCACCATACTATTACTACAAAATATGTTAGTATTAGAAACTACTAAAAAAAATCTACATTTGATTAAAAAAAAATAGAATTGAAAAAATTCTTAGAAATAAAGTTAAATTTAGATAATTTTAACCATCAAAATTGAAATTGAACAAAAAAAAAATAAAGTTTAAAAAAAAAAAAAAAAAAAAAAAAAAACTCAGTTTGAATGGTTGGTCCATACCTTGAGCAAGTCTAGACGTGGGTGTCTAAAAAAAATTGAGTAATTCTACCTGTACTCCCATTTTATACTTTATATGATTTGGCATGTTTTGATTGCTCAATTTTGTAAGGGAACATGATGTTTATCCATTCATTTTTTTCTTCCTTCAATTAAATTTGAACACAAGTGGGAGTAAAATTTTGAAAATACATCAAGTGTATAATCATTATTATACTATTAACTATGATCTACATTGCAATACTAAAAATTTATTTTTAATATATTAAATGTTCATTTTTTGTATATATTCAATAATGAACTTACAGTACACCAAAATTAAACAATTAATATATTAATAATAAACATTTATGTATAATCCAAAGTATAATTTGCCAAATTTATATGTAGTACTATAATTAAGTTTAATTTAGTCTCCATTTATTAAATTGAGCAATTCCGTTCACGCTATACCAATCTGGCCAATATTAAAAATACATAATTTAGAACTAGGGTTCACCTTGCAAGGTGAACCTACTCCATACCTCCATGGTATAACAAGTGGCTAAGTGATATTCCTATTCATATTGATATTTTGCTCTGTTATTTCCTGTTCTTCTTGTATTCAAATAAATATATAGCTGCTTTTGAGTTGTGAGATGAGTCAATTTTCAGAAGAAAAGTTCAGAAGAAAAGTTCCATAACGAAGTTGGAAGCTCACCCTCTATTCCACCCCAGAAATTTGATGTTATAATTGGGGATACAATACAATTGTCACAAGCTAAGATACAAAGATGTGTTAAATTTTCAAATTCTAAAGGTTTCGATATAATTGTAATACATAGATAGATATATAACTATCACAACTTCACAAGACAAAATTGTTTGATATTGAATTGCCAAAACTTAAAAGTTCAAATATAATTGTCACACATTAATATAAATGATTGAGATTTTTTCGGGGGCTTGCAAAACAGAAGTAGGCAATAGACATGCTTTTATTAGCAATGATGTATTTATGTCCATTCCCTTGCTTAGAATTCATAACTCTTCTATCCCAGGTTGTCAGAATAATAGAGAGCATGAAGCTAAGTTCAGAGAACAGAGTATTAGGAATTGAAGAAGAAGAATGAACTTTATTTATTACTGTCATAACTGCCATATTACAGGAGAATATAACATTGTCATTCACTTCTAAACTTTCATCCAACTCTGTATAGCTAGAAGCATTAAGCACTCAAAGCATGTGCCCATACTAAAAAAGACTTCAACTTCTTATCTAAAAATTTAAAATAAGCAATCCTCCAAGATTTTACAAGAAACAAAGAACCATAGATGCATCCAAAGCCCACTGCAAATCCTATAACCATGCTAACATAAAACCAATCCACTTCACAACCATCATCTCTTTTGTTTTCATTTGTGGGAATTTTACCTTCATCAATACTGCTACAGCTTTTTGAGATCGGAGGGCCGCAGAGGTTGTTGCCAATGTAACACGAAGCATTAAAGCCTTGCAGTTGAGTACCTGAAGGTATCTTCCCAGATAGGTTGTTATAGGATAGGTCTAAAACACCCAACGATGACAAACTTGAGAAGCTTGATGGAATTTTTCCTGAAAGTTGATTTCTTGAAAAATCAATGGATTCTAATAACTTCATATTTCCCATCTCCACGGGGATATTTCCTGTCAAATTGTTTCTTGATAAATTCAAAGATTTCAATTGCACAAGATTCGTCAATTCAATTGGAATATCCCCATTAAAGTTGTTATTAGAAAAATCCATGCTAACAAACAACATTAGAATGATAGTGAAATACTCGTACTCATGTCCTTTTGTAGTTACTAAAGCACTTTCACCAAAGCTCCCAAAATCTGATGAATACCCCGTTTCAAAGAATCCATATGAAAATTCCTTCTTAATCATTGCAGTGAAATTTTTAAGACACTTGGGTATCACACCAGTGAAGTTGTTATTGGAAATATCTAAAATGCGAAGAGATGTAAGATGGCAGAACTCTGGATACAATTCACCGTTAAAGTTATTTGATCGAAGTCTTAAAATTGTCAAATATGAAAGAGAAGTCCCCAACCATCTTGGGATCGTCCCTGTGAATCCATTTTCAGCCAAATCAACTTTCTTTAGCATGGAGCAATTTTGCAGTGATGGTATAGGGCCAGAAAGCATGTTTTTGTGCATGTCCAAAGATTCCAAATTACTCAAAAGCCTAATGGAATTTGGAATGCTTCCAATCAATTTGTTTTCCTTCATATTTAAAACTTCTAAGTATGGCCAATGCATCCAACAATCTGGAATTTCTCCAAATAAATCATTTCCTCCCAAATGAAGTAGTCTGAGGTCATATTGCACCTTTTGTGCATGGCATAAGAAGTTAGAAATATTTCCTGAGAATGAATTGTTTGACAAGTCTAACCCAATTATGTGGATAGAAATACGAGGTAAGGGACCACTAAATTGGTTAGAGCTCAAGTACACCTCTCTAGTTGAATGAGAAGGTATGTTTTGAATTTGGCCTCGCAATTGGTTGTGTGAAACATTAACTAATTCAATTTGAGAAGAAAAGTTCCATAACCAAGTTGGAATCTCACCCTCTATTCCAGCATTAGAAATGTCCACCGCATAAATTTGATGTTGAGATTGCAACCAAAGAGGAAATTGAGGACCCAAATTCCAGCCACTTAGATAAAGCCGATCAAGTTGGAAGGGAGGTGTCCAGTTTGGATTGACACGCATGGTTAATCTATTTCCAGATGCAACTAAAATGGTTAACTTTGTGAGATTAACAAAGTGATTTTCTGTCACTATGCCTTCCAACTTGTTATCTGAAATGTACAACCTTTCAATCATTGGAAATGAATACCCCAAATTCTCAGGAAGAGGTCCGCATAACCTGTTTCTTGCAAGATTAAGCTCTTGCAGCTTATTGAGATTCCCAATTTGCTTTGGTATCTCTCCAGTAAGCATATTACTAGAGAGAGAAAGCGCTTGCAACTTGCTGAGATTTTCAATTTGCTTTGGTATCTCTCCAGTAAGCATATTCCCATAGAGATAAAGGACAGACAAAGATGTCAAATTGGAAATAGAATTTGAAATGGTTCCTTGCAATTGGTTGTCACTAAGATCTAGTGACTCTAGATTGGTCAAATCATAAATCTGATTTGGTATGTATGAATTCATGCGGTTACTAGAAACATCCAAATTTTTAAGGAATGTCAAGTTTGAGAAACCATTGGGTAAAGGGTTTTGCAATTGATTGAAACTTATGTCCAGAGATGCCAAGTGACTAAGACCAAACAATTGATGGGGTAATGAACCATTCAAATTATTGCTGGAGATGTCAAGAATACTCAGAGATGTCAAGTTCCAAGGACTATTGGGCAAGGAACCTTGAAATTGGTTATCTCTTAGATTCATAGATACCAAACCACTAAGACCAAACAATTGACTAGGTAATGAACCATTCATTTCATTACCACTGATGTTAAGAGTGATAATGGATGTCAAGTTCCAAGGACCATCAGGGAGTGGACATAGAAAACCAGAAGATGTTAGATCAAGAGAAACAAGGTTATTGAGATTAAACATCCACTTAGGAATAACAGTGTTGAATTCATTATAGGAAAGATCAAGGACTTCAAGTAAAGAATTGTTTAGAAGGGAAAGTGACTGGGATAGTTTAGGCAGATCACAATCAGATAAATAAAGCTCACGCAAGGAAGGAAGCATATTAATGGCCTCTAACCAATTATGTGCCATGCTAAGATTAACATAACTCAAATCCAATAACTGTAAATTTGAAAGATTGGACAACCAGTCAAGACTCTTAGTTTTTATGAGACTAGTACCACTCGTTTCATCAATGTTCAATTGCAAAATTAAAGTGTGCAAACTTGTAAGGTTTCCAAGTTGAGGGGGAATCATCCCTTGAAATCCCGAATGGGATAAATCAAGATATTGCAAGTTTGCAAAAGATCCTATGAAATTAGGAATTCGAGATCCACTGAAATATTTATAAAGGCCGCTAAGATCAAGGTGATGTAGTTGTTTCAATTCTAGCAAACAAGGACTGAGTGTACCTTTCGGAAGATGAACAAACTCAAACTGAAAGTTGGGATTTGTTAGCCGGAGTTGAACAACATGACCGGTTACATTGTGGCACATAACTCCCTCCCATTTGGTGCAACAATCAACTCCATCAACCCAAGAGGAGAGTCGATTCATTGGATCTTCAAACTCCTTCTTGAAGCACAATAGTGCTTGCATCTCCCTCTCCTTGCAAACCCCCAAGTTGTTGCTTCCGCTACAATTGCACAGCTCCATAAGCACAAAGGCGAAGAGGATGATGAAGAAATAACTAGTTTGATGGACGAAAGTCGTCCCCATTATGAGGAAAGTTTTTCAAGCTTAATATATATATGACTATAAATGTAATGCTTTGCTTATGTTTATTTGTTTGCTGGATAATAGATATATATACAAACTTCATATGCTATAGCTATTACTGAGATGGGCTGGAAGCTTCCTTGACAACTACGAAAAACATGGACTGGAAAATGCATTGCATGTCTCAATCGGTATAAAATATTAAAATGTAATACTTTTAAATTAAATTGTAAAAGTATTACATTTTCCTTTTAAAATATTACATTTACCTTTAAAAGTAACAAAAATTTTATTCTTAATTAATATTATATTTAAGCATATAAGTATGACATTTGTGCTATAAGTATTACATTTTTATATTGACCCGACCCGACTCACGATGAGACAGTCTCAAACAAGTTTTTGTCAAAACCCACGCGAATTCTACTTTTAATTTTTAATTATTGTGATATTTAGTCTTATTATTCTTTAATTTTTATAACATTACATTCTTGACTTTTTTTTATACAATTAATTAACTCTATTATGAGTTAGTATTTGTTCTATACTTTTTTATCTGTTGTAGTTCAAAGAGTCAAATTCCATCACTGATGTATTTAAATTTCACTATCTGTATTTAAATTTTACGCTAGGCAGGTCAATATTCAATATCGATGTGCTCAGTTTACAATAAATTACAAAGTCGAGTATTAGTTACGTAATTTTAATCACCCAGAATTCATGTTAAATTTGATATATAATTGCATTGTTACTTGCGAGTCTTTAGTCTTTAGTTGTCATTATTCCTGAGCTTTCTCAGTCATTAACCAATTTTTAGTGAAATGAATTATTGTACCCCAAATTGTAAGTTTGCTCCGTCAAGGCGTCAACAACTAAAGACAAAGACTTACAAGTCTAACCCAAAATACACGTTAACTATGATATCAGCATTGCAAGTCTTTAGTCTTTACTCTTTGGTCGTTACTGTCCTGACTCTTGAGTGGCTGAGTTGTCATTAACCAATTTTTTGGGGAACTATCTTACACCACAAAATTTAATAGGTGGAATCCTTACATTTTTTTAAAAATTAAAAAAAAAAAAATCTTTCTTTGGATGACTTTGTAAACCTACAGACAGTACTAGGTAAATATTACTTTTGTGTAAAAATTATTTAAGAGAGCATGTTGGAAAGACCACGACCACATGCATAATAGATATAAATTGCACTAGGAAGATCGCTCCAAAAAAAATGTTAATAAGAATCGACTTGTAATCTTTAAATACAAAATTCATACTCTACTCACTCGGCCATCTTTTTTAATTTTTTTTAATAAAAGATTTAAAAGAAAAAAAAATAAAGCAAAACCTAAACTAAAAAGTAAAAGGTAAAAACTGAAAAAAAAAATAAAATAAAATAAATAACATACGTACTTGAAGGCTGACTGGCTAGGCCGGCGACTGGCGGAGGCGGAGGCGACCGGAGGGCGTGGGCGAGTTGCGAGCAGTGCGTTTGAGGGGTTCTTCTTTCTTCGTTGCTGACTATTACTATTACTATTACTATTACTATTACTTCTTTCTTTCTTTGGATGACTATATGTAAAACTGCGGGCACTACTAGGTGAAAAACCCCTTATCTGTAAAAATTATTTAAGAGAGCCTGTTGCAAAGACCACAATTACATAAGATAGATAAATTACACTAGGAAGACCGCTTAAAATTAATAATGTTAACAAGAATCAAACTTGTAATCTTTAAATACAAAAATCATACTTTTTGAATTTTTTTCGTTACTTCTCTCCTTGTATCTAGATGGAGAATTTTTCATTTCATTTGCAGAACCAACATCTTTATAAGGCTTGTTGTCAATGTATGCATCAGCATCAACCACAGGAAATAGCCTCTTCTTCTGGGAGCCATAGCCTAGACTTAGGAAACTTTGTGATACAACTTGTTAACATGATGCGAAATTAGACCCACAATAACGAGTTAGTGTTTACTTTTAATATATTCCACGTCATTAACAGGTTGACTCGTTAAAAATCTATTAAAATTCATGTATTAACAGAGACTAATTAATCCCCATTTACACAAAGTGCTGGCCATACAAGAGGGAGTTCAAACTCACAACCTTTCTTAAATCGAGAGTGTACGGCCACTCACGCCAACCAAACTGTTTAATATGTATACTATTTTATTGATTTAATTGTAGATCTATCTAATATAATAATTTTTGCTAAAGTTATATTTTCTATATAAAAAAAAAACAATTATATTAACATGCATATCTAATGAGTTCTAAATGAGGAGTCATTATGTTGTGCATCCGTGTACACCATGTATGGTGCACGGATGCAAAAACGACGTTGTTTTGACGCCGACTCAAAAAAAAATTAAAAATTTAGAATTGCATAACTAAACATCCATAATTTCATAACTATACATCCAGAATTGCAAAACTATACATCTAGAATTGCATAACTATACATCCAGAATTGCATAACTACACATCCATAACTTCATTACTATACATTCAGAATTGCATAACTACACATCCATAACTTCATAACTATAAATCCAGAATTGCATAACTTCATAACTATACATTCAGAATTGCATAATTACACATCCATAATTTCATAACTATAAATCCATAATTGCATAACTATACATCCAGAGTTGCATAACTATATATTCAGAAATTATGCACAACATAATGTTGTTGACGGGAATCGAAGTTGATTCTTTTTTTTTTTTTTTTTTAAGTTGGACCGTTGGACGCACGTTTTTATTCAAAACGACGTCGTTTTTGCATTCGTGTGGTGCACACAGATGCACGGCATAATTTGCCCTAAATGAGCTATTATGGCCAATGACCTTGTGGTCTAATGACATGAAGTGACTCTTCTAAATGGGGAAGTCATGGGTTTAAGCAGTATTAATTCTGTGTGCTTTAGAAAAAAATTGCATTTGTTGGTGTATAAAATTTTATCTCGTTAACCTTGAAAATATGTTTATTTGTTCACTGGATAATAGATAGATATACACACTTCATATGCTATAGCTATTACTAAGATGGGCTGGAAGCTTTCTTGAAAACTACAAAAAACATGAACTGGAAAATGCATTATTGCATGTCTCACTCGGTATAAAATACAGCAAATTAATTAAAGAAAAACTCCAAAGCTAATTAGTGAATAGAAGAAAAAAGGTCCTCACACAGTACCATGACAGCTCTGGCCAAAAGATTAACCTTCGGAAAAGTTTCTTCGTTGTTTCCAAGCACTGTTCCAATCAGCAGGCTACCACTATGACACGTATTCTTGGCATGCAGAGATCGAATTTGTCCTTCCGTTACTTGGGTGTGAACCTATTTTTAGGGAGAAACCGCCCGTTGTACTACCAACATCTGTTGGAGAAGGTAGATAACAAATGATTGGGCTGGCAACGAAAGCTGTTATCTCCCGGCGGTCGCTTGACATTAATCAAGCATGTTCTAGCCATGATCCCCCTCTACACGGCGGCATCTATTATGCTTCCCCGAC